TTTTTTGAGACTGTTATATGAATGTATTTTATCATGAAAAAACTGCATAGCATAGAAACCGTTCTTGAATATTTATTTTTACATGTATGTTTTAAAGTTACATGAATAACATTTTTAAGTATATTCTTATATAAAAAGACATTTTATATCTTAAAAACGGTTTTCCAGCATTATGTCAAATATTATAATACTTGTATAAAGATATAATAAAAATTGTTTTGTTTTATTTTTCCCGCAAACTAAGTCAATCGTTATTACCGTATGTTAAGTATATGGCTTCAATGTATTTATTCGGTAGCAAAATATAAATTCTATTAAACTATTACAGTACCATTTAACTTCATATCAATCTTTAGAATAAGCCCACCTGCTATAAGGATATTTGTTTTCTACTAAAAGCATGTACATTTGTAGTTCAACAAAACAAATATTAACAAACTATTGTGTAACGCTTAATAAAAGATCAATAAATGGAAAAAATACTTAATCTGTATTGAACTCATTATCGTTGAAAACCGTTGATATATTGTCAATATTCTTAGCAATAATTCATTGTATTTATGGGTAATGATAAATGTTCAAATCTGTTAATAACATTCCTCTGCAATGCAGCAGCTTGATTAGTGAAAATATATGATTTAACGTTATCCATAAAATCATTATTCATCCGAAATATTCAGTAAAGAAACTTAATTTAAGATGATATGTTTTTGTTTAATTATAAGGTAAACATATGGCGATATGGAACAATTCAGCGTCCCCGTAATCCTAAAATTATTACGAAGAAACGGAAGGCTACGACTTCCTAGAGATAGCGAAACAATTGTTTTGTTTTTTTCCATAGTGATTTGTTCCTACGATTTATATTTCTGTACGGAATATAATTTTCTTTTCAAACAAATGTTTTATCATTTTTTGTAAGAAAACAAATGTGACAATAACAGAAAAACTTCTATAGTAAATTCAAAATTATTTTTATCAACGTATAATTAAAGCATCTCTGTTGGTCTAATATAAGTTACAGGTGCAATGAAACATTTTACATAATGAAACTCTGCAACGGAATGGAATCTCTTTTATACATTGAGTTTGGTTAAACAGATATTTGATGTTATCAAGCTTAAAAGTACTTTGCAAGAATAAAATATTTTAGTCGCAAATTGTTCTATATAGCGATGTAAAATATAGCAAATTGCTTTTCCACATGTTTTTCATGTGTATTAGTAGAATCACATGAATAAAGGATAAGTTAGAGTTAAACGTCGAATTAAACTTATTTCTTGGAGAAAAAACTTATTTCTTGCAGAAATCGACAAAATATCTTACGTAAAGGCTACTAAATTACAGGGATTTTTTAAAGTTGAATTTGGCAGAATTTAACAAATTTTGTAACATGTTTACGAAACCAGTACCTTATTACCTAATTATGTACATATAACCATTCTTGTTAGACGAGTTTCGCGTCGCGTAATTCAAAAAGATTAAAATTATAAATGAACAGCTTTACCAAAGATATTTTGCAGACGGAACTGCTATAACTCGCTGTAGTTAATAGGTTTTATATATTAATAAAAATACAAAAGGGACGCTTAGAGTTATTTACAACTAATGTAACAATCTTGTTCAATATGCCATGTTTGTTAGATAAAAAGCATTTTGTTGTTTTTTTTTGTTGTTGCTGTTGTTGATATTTGTTGCTGTTGCTTTTTGTTGTTGTTGTAACGAGTTTGATACATATAAAATTTGAACAATAAAATTATAAATGTCCAATGGATTTGAATACGATTTTATAGGAATAAAGTGACAAGTTGATAGATCTATAGTGCTTATCTGAATAAATAACCAATTAATCATAGTTTATTTCACTTCATTCCCATCTGCACAATGTATCTGAGAGGTTTTATATGGAATAATGAAAACTAATTGAAACGATGCAAAAAGAAAATATTATCTATTTCTTGTTATTATGGTGCAATCCTCGGGTGAAGCGAAAAATATCTGTTAGAGTTAACGCTAATGGTCATGTGTCTTCTTCCACTGATCCGGAAAGACTGGGTGGAATAGAAGTCAGTTAATTGCAGAGAATATGTTAATTACTGATAAGATGTCCTGAAAATCCATTTAGGTTGACCGATTGTCGAGAAATGACCACGCATGTGTTGCAATTGTCATAAAAAACTAGCAGTATAAAGTAACCCAGAAGTGTTAGAGGAAAGCAATCATGTTCAAAAGAGTACCCATTTATAGAATGGAATACGTTAACTCTAAAAAGATATGGTTTATAGCTGCGCTAGTATTTGCGATACATTGCAAAATTATGTCACCATATTGGAAGCTACTTATGTCATCATATATGGCAAACTCTGGAAAACTAAAGAAGAGGAAGAATACATTAAAACTAATATGACATAATGAAAAAGTCTCTTCTCTAATGCTTTAGATGCTTTCAGTAATTATATGATAATTTAAAGCAACCTCCCGTTTAAAGATATGTCAAACTGCGAGAGTGTTACACTGTATTGGCATATTATGATTCTTAATAATCATTTTATTATAAATAGTATCACTAACTGTACGCAGTTTATATAATTACTTTTATATGATAGCGTCGAGTAATTGTATCCTCATATGGAACTTGAACATACAATCACAATCAGAGATGTTATCATTTCAATTCTTGAAGATCTTTGAACACGACATTATTTTTGCTCTCTCAAAGTGCCATTTTATTTAGTTTCACCCTTTGCTTTGTCGATTAGGCCACACGCATTCTTTAACTTGGAACATACACCACTTTTCATGGAATGACACTTACGTGTCGCATTGATAGTTTAATGAAAACAACCATGTGAACAACTTTGCGGCTGTTAATAAATTCAAATTTTAGCATTACCTTGTCTAAGTGTTCAATTCTACTAACGCCGGTGCAAGGGGGCGTATATGGTAACTTGCACTTTCCACTACCGTCCATTACCAGGCTCATTCAAACCAAAACGTGCATGTTGTCGTTTTGGGTTTTGTTCAAGGATAGTATTTCAACTTTTTTTAATTAAAAAACTTGTAAATTTAAATATATTTCTTTTGGCGTGTTCTCCTTTAAAGTCATTCACACGAATCAAAAGCTACAAGAGTAATTAACAATATTTATTAGGCACTAATTTCAAAACAATATATAATATTATTCTTGGATTTTATGTTTTACAAAGTTTTATTACACATTTGTTTTATTTTAAAGATATATTATGCTCATCCTTGATAAAAATATTTAAATCGAAGAAATTTACTGAAATATATTAAATTCTTACTGAATACAATAATCAGACAAGCCACACAAACACGAACATTTAGTAATTAAATTTAATTGCAAACGTTTCGGCTACATGCCTTCATCAGTGCAAAAATTAATGTCAGTTTCTTTAATGACCACGTATAGTGTGTAGGATTTAAAACATAACATATCTACTTTGTGTGAAGGCAAAATATGTTTATTTTATATAAACAAAGAGACTGTGTACCAATTATCAATATTTTCTATTATCAAATTTGAGCTTAGTATATATTTAACATGCCATAAATATGCGAAGTTTCTGCAGAAACAGTGTCGAGATAAGTGCATTTTAATTGAAATATAATTCATAGTATCAGAAATATATTTTCATAACCGAACTAAGGGAGCATACTTATGTTAAAAGAAAAGGTATGTGGTACAGAGTATTCAAACATTGTACAATAAGTTGGTCCGCAAAACATTATATTTATGCCGCACGCTATGCCGTTGAACAACAATTAGTATTCTTTAACATTGTTTCAATGATATTTAAGCTGTGAGTTGATGATAGTTTAACCTTGACCCTTTTAGAATTTATTTGTAGCTTACTTCTTATGTATAACTTAGATTATTACGCCTCAAAACGGTTATTATATAATTATGCATTGGTTTTATTTCATATAATATACGTGATTCATTTACTAGTAACTAGTTAAAACTAGTAGGTAGGTACCCCCGGCGCAACCCGTTTCTTGATGTGCGACTCCCCAAATTGACACCAAACTATACGGCGTCTGCTTATGTCTCGTACGTTATATGTAACGTCGTTGCAAAAGTGTACGTCTCAGTGTCAACAGGTTGGCATTTTGTACTTTCAGTTTCTACAACCATAATAAAAGATATATAAATAGTGTAGTGTTTGTTTTTGTTTCCATGAATTTACTTATTTTAGGTGGACTTTTATTTGATATATTGGCAAAAGACTCCCAGCATTAAATAACTATTTGTTTACATGTTTAGTTTCTTAGCATAGGTTAGATCGAAATACCGTATCAGTTCTGTGTATTCATACTATTGTGTTCGAGGTCCTTATCCGAACACCAACGGAAGGGCCTTAAATGAATTATAAATCTTCATAATGGACTAATTCACTTTAATTTACTCAATTAATTTTGTTTATGAGCGCATTTTAGAAACCAATATAATAGTATACTATATATACAATACGCACACGACTGCTTAAGTTTTCTTGTTGTTGTTGTTTTGTGTGTTCATCTCTTATGTTGGATATCTAGTCTATATTCATGATCAGCACATTTAAGCAGCATGTGTCCAGATTCATGTTAAATTTCATGGAAATCTTAACAATTTGTTAAGAAGGGAAATATTGTTATGTGAACAAGGCCAGTAATTTACAAATTGAAAACGTTACTTATAAGTTACGTTAATTATAGATATGTCCACAATACACAAGAAGGTCCATACTTGTCACGCAACAGAAATATTGTGATAAGTATTGCAAAATCAGTCAATACTTGGTTAAAACATATTTATTTTTAGCTCGATTGCGAAACAAGTTATTGCAACTTATATTGATCACTTTCGAGTCCGCTTCCTGGAACCAACCAGTACTGGTGTCATTTGAAGAAACATGGTCGTGACCCGAGTACGGCTCGAACCCATGGTCCCCGGGTTGAGAGGCAGTCAATACTCGCACATAACATTTTAAATCTCGCATTTTTTACTTTTCTTATTAAGATCCTATTACATTGTTTTCTGAAGTTTAATTTCTTGAAATATTTTGGCTCATGTGGAGGCACATTGTGTATTTTGAACATGTTATTGTAACTATCATTATAATTGTATGTAATATAATAAATGGAATATGAGTTATGTTGGCTGAGTTCTTTAAAGCCGTTTATGTTTTCATTTAAGCGAGCATTAGGACAGCCGGTCCGCATATTTTTGCTTAATCCGCTTAATAATATAAGCATAAAATTATCTGTATTGATTAAGATTGTGAACCGTAATTATTTAAACATGTTATCATTTTGTGACGCGCTCAGCTATTTGTAGCCTCATTGAGTTTTTAATCATTGTGAAAAAAACGCTTGCAAAATCATAAGAGGTTTGATGTCTTTATTTACGTTTTCCTTTCCTTTTAACATTTTCAAAGCTTTCCTGGAAAATCTATTTTTAGAAAATAAGTATTTTGTTTACAGTCAGGTCACACATTTATGAAAGAAGTGAAACGTATATTCTTTACATCAGTTCTATGTTACTGCAAAGTTGGAGGTGTAAATAAATATTAAGGTAGATCTAAGTGCATCTTTTATTATTTATGATATTTTTGTTGATTATCTGTTTTGATATGTTGAATAATCTTTTTTTATGTTTTTGTTTGATAAACAGTTAAATAAATGGGACCATGACACTTGAACTATTTTACAAAATCAAAACAACATGGCAGATATCTAGGTCAAGTCATGAGAGACATATTTTTTAATTTCCCTTTCTCTTTCAAAACTGAGTTTCTTTTAGAAAGAAATCGAAAATACTTTTTTAATAACCCTTTTCAGCTACATGCACTGTTGTTCTCGAAAATCTATATTTAGAATAATGCACTGTGTCAGGTCACACATTCATGAAAGTAGTGAAACGAAAGATCTGTACGTCATTATGTTACTGCAAAGTTGGATGTTTAAATAAAGATTAAGGTAAATCTAAGCGCATCTTTTATTAGATATGCTATTTTTATTGATTATCTTTTTTGAAATGTTGAATAATCGTTGAATTTTTATGCTTAAGAGTTTGATAAATGTAACCATGACACTAAAATTGTTTAACAAATTCGAAACAACATGGCAGACGACAGGTCATGACACAAAAGTTTTAGATTTTTTGTTCAGTCTTTATAGAAACTAGAACTGTGTCCAAAGAACACGGATGCCCCCACTGACAACATATAATTCTGTTAAATTTGGTCGCAGCAAAAATTCCTTCCTTTACTTCCATTTACACATTAAGGTTGTTCATCCCTGGAAATTTAAGCAAAATTACTCATCCGGTTTAAGAGGAGTTGCGTTCACAAAATTTCTATATGGTATATAGTGAAAAAATCAACGAAGGGCCATAATTCTGTTAAATTTGGTCGCAGCAAAAATTCCTTCCTTTACTACCATCTACACATTAAGGTTGTTCATTCCTGGAAGTTTAAGCAAAATCTGCCATCCGGTTTAAGAGAAGTTACGTTCACAAAATTTCTATATGGTATATAGTGAAATATCAACAAAGGGCTATAATTCTGTTTAATTTAGTCGCAGCAAAAATTCCTTCCTTTACTGCCATCTACACATTAAGGTTGTTCATCCCTGGAAGTTTAAGCAAAATATGCCATCCGGTTTAAGAGGAGTTGCGTTCACAAAATTTCTACAATCATAGTATATAGTAAAAAAATCAACAAAGGGCCATAATTCTGTTAAATTTGGTCGCAGCAAAAATTCCTTCCTTTACTACCATCTACACATTAAGGTTGTTCATCCCTAGAAGTTTAAGCAAAATCTGCCATCCGGTTTAAGAGGAGTTGCGTTCAGAAGATCTCGGGACGTACCGACAGACAGACGTACGGACGGACGGACGGACAGATGGACGGACAAGTGCAACGCTATATGCACGCCACTTTGTGGGGGCATAAAAATTGGTTACTTGATTGAGCCTGTTCATGGACGGTAATGTCACGTGCAAACTACCGTCCACGGCCCCTAGCACCGGCTTAAGCAGAATTCAACATTTAACATGAACTGGTATAATTTTGAATTGTGAAACATCCGCAGATGTGTTCATATGGCGGTTATCATGGATCTTACAAAGGCAATACTTATTTTCTTTACCATTGACAAAATACGCACTTAAAATTAATTATCACGGACTTAAATGATAGCGCGATACGACAATCAATACAACAAGTTATTGTTACACTAAACTATCTAAGCTGTTGTATTTATACTATTATTTTAAAGCGTTGTTTTCCTTAATTATATGTCTTGTTAAGTTATGATGAAACTAAAACGAAACAAAAGACAATGACAAACTTGTTAAAAAAGGAAATTAAACTCATCTTGATTACAATAGAGACAACTGGCTTTGTTTTGTTTTTCAAATAGTACATAACTTTTGAAATATTTAAGACAGTGTACACATTAGACTTCGTGACTTCGTGCAATTTATCTTACATTCAATACATGTACATGATGTTATTTTCATAACTATAGATAAAGACAATAGTAGGACAATTAAATGTCATTTCACCGCTTCTTAGATATTACCTAAATCCCTGGTTATAGCACAGAGCATAATTAAATATAAGACTCTGGCAACCCATCGGCTGAAGACCTGGGGCCGTATTCATAAAGGATCTTAAGTTTTAAGGGAAAAATTTCCTTATCTTGAAGAAAACTCCCTAAGGTAAAATTTCCCCTTAACTTTGAAGTCAAAAATCCCTTAAGTGAATTCCTTAGGCAAGAAATTCCTTAACTTAAATTTTATCCTAAGGCGAAAATTTCGTTTAATAACAGTTTTACTATTTGTAATTATCGACTGGAGAGCACTGACTGTGCTAAAAATAGTAACAAAAACAAGATGGCTGACCTAGAGCAGGAAATGCGCGACGTTTCAGACCTTTTCATGGATATTTGTTGTATATCATGGAATTATTCGGACAGTCATCATATGAAGCAGGCAGAGGAAAAGGATTGTGGGTTTAACACTAGTGACATGGTTTGAGACTGACGTTTTTAAACATTATCAGTTTTATTCGCGTGTTGTTCTTGTTTACCTAACTCGCTTCGAAATTTTCCGAAAATACAAAGTGAAAGTAGGGTAAGTGTTTACTATTTTAGTAAAAATTTACCGATAAATTATGCCGATATGATTAAACATACGTAATAGCATGTTTACTAAAGAACCAATGTTTCACTCCTAATTGATTTCTTGACGATACATTTGACAATTTTTCTGAATTTCGAGACGGAGTCAATCTGTCAATAGCTCAAATTATTCGTCCCCTATTTACTTCGTGCACATTTTGCCTGTTTTTGGTAAATTGTTGGAAGTTGATACTTTTTTCTGAAAAAAAAACCCATCTTAGTAACAAATTAAGTAGCCGTGTAGCAAAGAGGTTATTGGACGATTGCCAAAGTTTATTAATTTTAAACATCATCAAGTCCAAGGTACATGTAGATCTATATACATGTACATCATACATGTAGTATATGAAAAACAAGATCAACAAGGAAAGGCGGCGTTCAATGAACGCAACCCCCATATGACCCAGCAACAAGAACCAATGGCAAGGAGCCCAGGTGGACCCCAAACATAAAAAGGACAGGGCAACTCCATGTTTAATATTATCTTGTCTGTTAATTTTGTTTATAATTATTTACTTTTTTTGCATAGTTACAAGAACAAAAAGTTAGATATACATACCATATATAAAATAGGTAAATAATGTTTTAACAAATACAATATCAAAAATTAATGCTTTAATACAATTTGAATTTACATTAAATTATGGACTTCAGTATGTTAGCTTATTCTATTTTGACATTTAAGACATAGGTTACTATCATTTATTGCATGGTTTACTGCCCTAGAGAATAAAAACTCAAACAAAAAAGAAATTCCTGAAAATTGTAGATTTCATATTATATGATCCCCTTTCGAAATTCATTTTATTTAGTTCCGCCCATTGTTTTCTCGTTTAGGGCACACAGATTTTTTTACCACGGGACCATATGCCGCTTTTCATGGAATGGCACTTACATGTCACATTGAGGGTTCCATGATGACCGCCATATGAACACATCTGCAGATGTTTCAAAATTGTACCAGTTCATGTTAAATGTTGAATTCCGCTTAAGCCGGTGCTACGGGGCATGGACAGTGGTTTGCACTTGACAGTACTGTCCATGAACAGACTTTATCAAACTGAGCCTGTAACATTTTCAATTGTGTCATGTTGGGCTTTCTTCAGGGATTCTTATTTTATCCATTTTATTTCTGTTAATATATCTGCTTTTAATTCAGCTGTTATGTCTGCTTTTAATTTATCATATATAACATAAGCAAGCTCATATCAGCTTTGTCTGATAAATTGATATCAAAAAGACAATAGTATGTTATTCTCTATTGCAAATTTAAGTAATTGATGTTATTTCATTTGGTATTAGATTAAATTAAGATCTGTGACACAAGGGAATAAAATAAATGATGAACAATTGTTTTAGTATGACTGGTCTTAGTTAAATTAACTGAAGGAAAAGGACATAAACATTTGTAGTTTTCATGTTTAAATTGAACCGAATATTACATTGTAGATTTTTTCGCAAAGCTTCATTTGTAGTTTTTGGGCTTTTAAAAGTAGATAATACTTTACAGTAATCTAAAATTTATTTAGCTTTCATTTAATATTGAGAGCACCTGAATTACTGTGCATACCAGCCTTTACTCATGATACTGTCTAATAATATAGATAAAATACAGAATCCCTAAAGAAAGCCCAACACGGCAAAATTGAAAATGTTGCAGGCTCGGTTTGATTGAGCCTGTTCATGGACGGTACTGGATAGTGCAAGTTACCGTCCACGCCCCCTAGCACCGGCTTAAGCAGAATTCAACATTTACACATGAAATAGTAAAATTTTGAATTTAGAAACATTCGCAGATGTGTTCATACGGCGGTCATTTTAGTTGTCAGTAAGGGAACTGAGCAAAAATAACCACCATTGCAAAATGGTTAAAATAATAATTGCTGCTTGCATATGGTTATTATAATCAGATTCCTGTGCTGTAACTTTCTTCTTTGATACAAATATCTTTGAAGCCATGAAAACAAAACTGTCAATGTATTACAGTGATTTTTTTTTCCAATTTCAAAAACAACCTGTGGCTTTCTGAAGGGGGAAATATAGTGTGATAAACCAGAAAACAGGGAAATCTGACAACTGAAGAAATGGAATTTACCCACACATTTGATTAAATTTTCAATTTCAATTCAATTTAACATGCATGGTACATAGCAGATCTAGGCTATTTATAGGGACATGTTATTGATATAAGTCTGCCAGGCTATCTATAGGGACAGCTGTCAGATATAAATGAGATGCTGTTAAGTCATGGTTCTGGTAAAAAGTGCACAGGGCATTTAAGGGGAAAATATTATTAACATTTTTAGGGGAAAATATACTTATTTTGGGCTAGGGGAAACAGCCTTTATTCAGCTGTAAAATGTAGGGGGGGGGGGATCATTGTATTAGCAATCCTTATGCCTTTCCTTGTTGATCTTGTTTATCATATTTTATGTTTAATTTATGTCAAAGTAATGACTTCAGCTGTGTTCGCACAATATCTTTAACTATTTTATAATCACTGTCATTCAAGTATGCCAGATTCCTTTCACTAGGAACAAATTGACAAAAAGAAGTAAATTAAGTATGCAAGTATGCCAAATAAATAGACTCTTGTAAGGATCTTACACTTTACTGACTGCAATTTCTTGTATACCTATACAATAGCCAATTTATATTTATTAATTTAAACACATAACTTATTTTAATTTACAATTTGCCCTACAACACAGAAGACTGGAATTTTTGTTTGTTTTACCCATGCCGGACTAATTCTCAAAAACTACTGCTGCAATTTCTTTCAAAATTTTCAG